GAGTTCGAGCCGTGGGCCGGGCATGGCAGGGCCCACCTCCCCAAAGAGAAAAGGTGGGGAGGAAGGTGCAGCAGACATTGCGGACCTTTTGCGAGGCGGAGGAGGATGCTGCTGGGCCAAGTGGGCCAAGGATGACGGAGGCACAGGAGGAGCTGGCTGATCGGATGATGAGCGAGGATGCGGCCAGCCTGGCGAAGGACATTGGAGAGTTGGACATCATGGAGGCGTTTTCGCCGAAAAGGATGTGTGGAGATGAAGAGGTTTGGGCTGCGAGATGGAGCGGCCATTGACTTGGAGGAGATGAAGCCAGACGGGTCTGAGAGATGGGACCTGGACCGAGAGAGTGACTTCAAGGAGGTCATCAAGATGATCAGAGAGGAGCAGCCGTGGCTACTCACGAGTTCGCCACCGCGCACTACGTTCAGTCCACTGAGGAGGCTGACTAACAAGAAGCGGGACCCGATGACGGTCCAGGAGGAGGAAGACTTGGAAGGAACGTGTGATAAAAGCGGTCAGATGCTGCGAGGAGCAGGCTGACCAAGGAGGTGTGTTCCTTCACGAGGAATCTTCGAGCTGTGGGAGATGCCGGAGGTGGCGGAGGTGGAGAGGCTGCTGGATCGGGACGGGGTCTATGTGGTGACGAGTCCCATGTGCAAGTTCAACATGAAGATGGAGAACCCGGACCACGAGATGCTCCACGTCCGGAAAGAGACAAGGTGGGCCACGAACTCAAGGTTCTTGGCGGAGGAGCTACGTGGTGAATGCGAGAACAAGCTCGCTGGCGTGGAGATCCACAGGCGCACGCATTTGGTTGGAGGCAACAGGGCGAAGGCAGCAAAGGAGTACCCCAAGGAGCTGGTTCGAGCAGTGCTGCGGGGCCTGAAGAAGGACCTCAGGAGTCGCAAGGCGATCAACGCGCTGGAGGAGCTGCTGACTGGGCCATCCCCGGATGACCACGTGGAGACGGAGGAGGTTGAGCAGCAGGAGTTCCAAAAGTTTGTGGACGATGTGACAGGCACGGAGCTCCCGGAGAAGCTCGTGCGAGAAGCGAGAGCCGAGGAACTCAGCTGGCTTCGTAAAGAACGGGTCTATGAGCGGGTTCCTATGAGGCTGTGCGAGGAGAAGGGTGTAAAGCCACTCCAGCTGAAGTGGCTGGACATCAACAAGGGTGACAGCAGCTGCATGAAGGTAAGAAGCAGGTTGGAAGGCTCAAGGCTGACATATGTTTGTGTTATCGCCTTTGTGGGCCCGCCTTCGTGATAAGACTGGCTTGCTACAGGCACAGGGTTGAGCGGAAGCAACAAGCTGGTTCCAAAGGCCGCTTCTCAAGGTCTAGGTTCACATTTTTTGCTTTTTCTCGAAGGGAACTCTGAGTGGCGCTCAAGTGATCATGCTTATTCCGGAACGGAAAAATCTCAGCCGGCATCCGCGGAAGGACCGCGGAAGGTTCGCGGAAGGCGCCCCAAGTTGAAGGGGGTCCCACTTCGGGGGTCCTTTGTTGTTTCCTGTTTTCTTCCTTGAGACTCGCGGCTTGCAGTGACCATGTCTGAAAGGCACGGGCTCAGCTTGTCAAAAAGCTTGTAGTGACACAGCAACAACTGCAATCATCAAGGCAGCCGCCAGCCGCCAGCATGCCTGCGCCCCGCTTCGGTGTTACAGCGCTGCCGCGGCTTGCCAAACCGTTTGTAAAATGCAATCCCTCGCCTTGTGGAAGTTATGCAGCCAATGCTTTGAAATGGTGCCCGCGGAAGGTTTTTGAAAAACACACGTTGCGGAGGTTTGCGGAAGCACTTTCCCAAAAAATGTGCTCGTGGAAGTTTGCGGAAGGCAAGGGCCCACTCCAAATGAAATTGGCGGAAGTTTTGGCGGAGGTTTCCATACGTCCATTGAGATTTAAAGAGAATAAAACACAAAGCTCAGATGTTGAGACAGGGTGGTTGAACACACGAGTGTTGGTCCAAGCATTGAAGGCAGAGCTTTGTGTTTTCCATTGCCCAAAGCGGGGGGCTTGGCAAATCCGCATCTGGGCTTCAAGATCAGCTGCTGGCGCGTGTCGCCAGCCCTTCTCCCCCTTCCACTTCCCGCAAAATCATTTTCGGCAGACAAACCTAGCAGGGATACAGAGAAGCAGTGATGCGGGAGGATTTTCCCTGCCTTGGCCAAGCTTGAAGGTTGCGAACATCCTCAACAAAACCCCCCGCTTCCACCTTACTGCCGACGCAATGTTGATCGAGTAGTCAGTTTGTCTTGCACGACGCGGGTCCCAGCGGGCTCTTTTAGTGGGGGTTTCTCGCTTGGATGTTTTTCAAAATGTTTTGGGGGATCCTTTCGTTTCCCTTTCAATCCAAAGTAAGACGGGGTCCGACCTTTTCGAGAAAAAACACAAAACCTATACTTAGGATTGCGGATTGGGGACCCCTCCATGCTCAACAACACAGGACACGCTAAAGATTCTCAGTCCAAAATTGTCACCTCAGGATCAAGGAGATCAGCTCAATCAGAACCTCCAAGCAAAGTGAGAGGGAGATGTGCTAAATTTCCCCAAGATTCTCTTGGGCTTGGCCTCAGAAAAGGGAGCACTTCAAAGCCTGGTGAGCAGAGCGGGGACTGTCATGAACCTTGAACCTTGACTGTCATGAACCTTTAAGGTGTGGTTTAAGAGTGTGGCCGTATCACTTGACCACACCTCGCTTAATCCTGTCCGAAAAGAGAGAAAATCATCCACCCTGCGCGAGGGCTTGCCTAGTGCCTCTGCAGCGGATGTCGCCTGGGTCGGGACCCCAGAGCGATGTGGCTCTTTGTTAGGTTGTTTGTTGTGCTTTTGGTTGTTGTTCGTTGTTTTGTGTTTTCCGGGTTGTGTGGCAGGGTTGCTTTTCATTCAGAATTGCTTTGGGGGCCTCATTAAGGAAGGAAGCTTTCCCTTTCACTGCCTATGAGAGGACACAGGCACGGCTCCAATGTCAAGGTTCATGGAAGGTGTGTTGAATCAGATGGATCGTGATTCCATGACCGGTTTTTCCCTCTTCGTGGTTTTGTACAAGAGAAATGTATCTTGTTTTTTCAAGGGAAGCCAAAGGGAAACATGGCATGTCAAGGACAGTTTGTGTTGTGATATCTTTTCATACTCTTATCCTGGGGGACTCCTACTACATCCTGGGGGTTAGCCTTTCCAAGAGGTTCTTCGCTTGGGACTAAGGATGGGGATTATGGAACCCTTGTATGCGATCTCATTTGAAGAATTCAGATTGAACAATCCAGATATGGGTATATTATACCGGGTATATGGGTCTGTCTCACAATAGGGAGCCTTTTTCCCCAGCAGCTGAAAGCGGCTTGGGGTCTTTGCCCAACATATCTTCCGAGGTGGTGCACGTCACCTTGATGGTAGTGCTCTGCGGCTGTAGGGGGAAATGTCACTGGGATTAACTGTCGGTTTGAAAGGGAAACTAGCTAAAGGAGCCATCCATGTAGGTGGGCTGTTAATCCTGAGACATACCCTAATATGGGAGTTGTTCAATTTACTTGTTTTGGATTTGGTTTGAAGGGACCCTAGGGAAACGGCCAATTTTTGAAGGGGGGTACCTCAGAAAAGGACACGCCCTATCAACGCATGAGTTTGTTTGTTTTTTGTGCCACATCTGCGCTGGAGCCTGCGAGGACCAGCATCATGCGTCGCAGTTCACCCCTCGTGGGCAGAACCGCATGCAACTCGGCACTCAGGTGACTTCGCTGTGCTTCGGCGTTTCTCCTCTGGAAACCAGGCCCACCAGATATTGATTCCTCGGAGTTGGCTTTCCTCTAGGCAAAACCAATCTCCATAAGTAAGGGTGCAATTACATGAAGAAAAGGCAGTATTGTTTGAGGTTGGCAGTCTTTCCGCCCCGTGCCTCCACTGAACCAAAAGATGCTGCAACAGGCTCCCAGTGTCGATGTGCGAGACTCTTGTGGCCAAGCCCTGACTTTTTGGAGTGTGATAAGCTGGGGGCAGATTTGTTGTTCCAAGAGGAAGTTGGTGCACGAATGTTGGGAGCAGCGCCATGAGGGTGTTTCAACTCTCTGCAGCTGATGGGGCCGTGAGGTAAGGTTCGGGTGGTGATTTTTCGACAGGGCTTGTGCCCAGCACTTTAGACATCCAATCATGGTCTGGCTGAGGACTCCCCCCCCACTCTCCTACTTCTTCCCAGGTTTGCTTGAATGAATTCCATTTGCTTAGGCTGTGTTTTGAACATGTTTTTTATGTTCCTCCTCTGTTGGTAAAGGGAAACCATCACTAGTAGGACATTTTTTCCAGGTACCTTAAGCAAATGGAAGAGGAGGGTTGTGATTGGATGGTCTCACCACCAAGGCCCGATGTAGGCCGGCTTGCCGCAGCGCAGGCCGAAAACGCGGGAGAGGATTTGATCAAGTGGCCTGTTGGGTTGGCTGGTTGGGTGTTTTGTTTCTTAGTGGGTGGGCGTATGGTTGTGTAGCGGATGGAGAACAAAACGCTCAGAGAAGAGGGGCAGAAAGCCGGAGGGTTAGCCAAACCCAAAGAGGCTTGCCCAAAGCCGCCCCGCGCTTTTCAGTCCCACCTGGTTGATCCTGCCAGTAGTCATATGCTCATATATATATATATATGCACATATTTATGTCTATACATATGTTTGGGAACCTTTTTATTCACTCCTATTCAAACCTCTCCCAAAGGTCAGTCTCGCTCTTCGCGAAAGGGAAGCTGGCAGAGCCCCAGCCCCGGAGCGGTTCGGTTGAGCCAGTGGTAGGTGGCCTCCATTTGCTGGTTGGTCGTTTTGGCCGTTTTTTAATGTTCCCTTGTTGGTTGGAAAAGGGATCAACCATCACTAACAAAACAAAAGGCCAAAACAAAAACAGCACAAAACACACAACAACAAAAACAAACGTGGACCCTCTTGAAGGGAGAGGTGTGCCCCACGTGGTCGCCAGAGGACGAGGAGTCCACAGGGACCATCACCCCTCCAGAGGAGAAGCCGCCGCCCGGCAAGGCGAGGAGAAGGGGGCATGGGGAAAGTGGACCTACGTATGAGCAACCACAAAACACAAAAACAAACAAAAAACACACAGCTGCTTTTTTCTTTTTCTGGTTTTATCTAGGTCACTACAGGAAACATTCAGGGTGGTTCCCAGTCATTCCCTTAGATTGTTGATAGCTTTTCAAGTGTTTGTTTGAGAGGAGTGAAAGTTGGCTGTGTTTCATGGGTTATAACCTGTGGCAAGCCATGTTGGGGTGGCTGAACAAACAAACTAGATGACGAGTGGCCCGGAAGCATAGAAGCAAAGTAAAAGAAGGCAAGCTGATTTTCATGTTTGATCTGGCTGTTTTGGATTTCTTGCGCAAGTTACTCTGTTCAAGTTGCCTGCGCAAGCGTCCTGTGCAAGTTGTTTGTTGCAAGTTTTTCTGTGCTCCATGCAAGTAGTTCTGCGCTGATAAGTGCACTGCTTAGATGGGCCCTGGTTTAGCTATGGTGTTAAGAGGGTTAGCATGTTTCTATTCATTTGCTAAGCATGTGCTAGAGGCATGCTAGAAGCATGTTAGAAGCATGTTAAGCATATGCTAAGCACTTAGGCATCTTGTAGCTGTTATGAAAAAAGCTAAGAAGTTATGTAACTCATTGATTTGTTATACCCATTTATGCATTTTTATGTCTCTATATGTACAGAGTTAGTAAGAAGTTAGCTAAAAAATACAGCATTTAGCTAACTAGTTAGAGCCATCTGTAATGCTAAAAAAACACGACAAACGCTCCTGCTGGCTGCTCAAAGAACTGGGAGGAGCTGTTGCTTTGTAGCTTCAGCTTTCTTGGATGCATGCTTGCATTTTCTTGCAAAAAAGCCATGAAAGGCTAGACAAAGCCCAGCAGCCATGAGGCTCATTCATGCCATGTGGACTCAAACAGCCATGGTAGGCTTAAGTGAACTTCAAACAGCCTTGCAGGGGCTCATGAAGGCTGCATGCCAAGCTGTGCTTCAAACAGCCTTGCAGGGGCTCATGGGGGCTGCATGCCAAGTTGTTAAACAGCCTGCAAGGGCTCATGCAAGTAATGCAAGTAGAGCTGCAACTGGATGCAAGACACGGCTGGCAGCAGCATGCAACCAAAGGCCATGGACACACACACACAAACACACATGTTGGCATCAGCACGCACTGGCAAAGAAGCAGGCCTTACATGGCATCAGCAGGCTGCACAGCATGCATGTGTGAAGGGAACATGCATTCAAGCATTGGCATTGGCCCTTGCCTGGCCTGCCTGAGCCATGTCTGACATGCCTGGCCCACTGGCACCAGAGGTGGTAGAAGCAGCCAAGAAGATCTTGGATGGCAATATTGCACCTTTGTGCAAGCTGCAGGAGCTCAAGCAGCTCTTCATGGACAATGGGCTGTGCTATAACACAACTGCCTTGCCAAGTGAAATGCTAGTACACCCTTCCAACAGGGGTGGCAGAATGCTTGGGTGGAAGGATGTATGGAAGAAAGGCATGGCTATGCTGGAGGTTGGAGTGAAAAAAGAGCTGCTTGTCGACCCAGTATGCTTTGAGATGAGCTCCAACCCATCAACCAAGAAGATGCAATTGGAAGCCAATATTAGGTTGGCTGAAGCTTTTGAAGGGGCTTTGGCAATGCCAACCTCCAAGGAGAGGTTTTTGACAGTTGGGTCAAGCCACACAGTTGCCTTTTGCAAAGCTGTTGGAGCTGTTTGCAGGCCAGGGGGGCAGCCAGACAGAGCTTGACCAGTGGAGGGCCAAGTTTTTGGCAGCTGACTATGAACTCCACCAACAACAGTGCATTGCCCATGACAGAGATTGAAGCTGCTTCCCAGCTGCAGGTGTGCTTGGGGCTGGGCATGAAGTTGGCGGATGCAGTGGAGCAGATCAGGCAAGCAACCCAGCTTGCAAGAGCAGCTTGGACCACCTCCAGATATGCAGGAGGGGAAGGCATGCCTCGCATAGACTTTTTGCCAAAGTTTGGCCACTTGGCTTGCTTATACATTAATTTTTGTGGTAGGTTTGAATGGGTGGCTCAATTGGCCAAGCTGGGGGGGCAGCTTGCAGCAATGTAAGGAAAGTCCTTTGGTGCTTGCGTGATTGGTGAGGAGATGGTCAAGTCCTTGGCATATATGGATGTGAAAGGCTTAGCCCTGCCATTTTTGAGGACCAGCTTGTGGGCATGCATGATGAACAGCCCCAGAAGCATGGATGGGATATCCAAACTGCTATCAAAGAGTGATGTAGACAAATTGAAGAACAGCCAGAAGAGGCCCATGGTGGAGCAGGCAGAAGGGTTGCTGGCAGACTCTTGGAAGCTGGTGGAGAAATCAAGCTTGGAGCAGAGCAAGAAGGTCATGGTCTATGGCAGGCTAGCCTGCAGAGTGGCTTTGCACTTGGTGGGTAAGGAGAGGCTTGGGGGAGAGCCACAAGGCTTTGCAGATTTGAGTGAAATTGCTGAAGCTTTTGGCAAAGAGCTCACAGGGGCCAAGCAGCCCAAGATTGCCAAGAAAGAGCCAGACCTTCAGGCAACCCCAGGGCAGCTTGCTTTGCTGCAAAATTCCCATATGCAGGTCAACAGCTTGCCCCTTAGCCCTTATCAGTATGTTTGTCTTTCCTTTGCTGGGAACTAGCAGCTGCCTTCCACTTGGCTGAGGTATACCAATCCCAAGCACCATGGGGCCAAGATTTTTGAGTACAAGGCAGCAGCTGACACCCATTTGCTTTTGGTGCACAAGCCATTGTTTGGACCTGAAGAGCAACTTCATGTGCAGTTTGCATGGAGGCTGAGCAAGGCTCCTAGGCCCCAGCTGTGCCCAGAACATAAGGTGGTTACCAACATTGCGCAGCACAATGCTTTTGTGCTGGAGGAGGTCCAAAAGTGTGAAGTGCAGCACATTTTGAACCAGGCCTTCATTGACCATGGGGTGAGCCATGAGGACTTGGCATTTTCTATGAGCCCCACAGCTGTGTGGGCAATCAAAAAGATCAAGAAAGGCTCACTGAAGCAAGGCCAAGGATGGAGCCAAGGCTGGTGTGGCCACCATGAAGGCATTTGGGTCTTTGTGGCAGATCCAGCCCTACAAGCAGCTCACAAATTTCAGTGCAAGTGGTGATGGTGTGCTGTCCCCCTACCATCATCCTCCAAGGACCAGGCCAACATGGTGATGACAGAGCAAGGATCCCTATTTTGACAAACTCAGCGCAGCTTAAACCACATGAGCAGCTCCTGGTGACAGATGGCAGCACCAATGGCATGGAGAAGGCACAGGGCAGCAAGAGGCAAAGAGTCAGCTAATCTGCCTGCTGGCAACCAATCTATGATGCAATGGCTGAGGAAAAAGCTTGTGGCATGTACAGCCCATGAAGGCTCAAAGGTTTGCATGCAGTCAAGCAGCCTTGGTGCTTAGCTTCCTCATTGTTTCCAACTGCCATGATGGGCATCACTTCAGTTTGTCAATCCAATCCAACAGCTTTTTGTGGCTCAAAGGGATGCATGCCCAACAGCCTGGTAGGTGGCTCAAATGGCACACTTTTCAACAGCCTTACTGGGCTCAACTTCAGCAATTGCAGCCATGCAGTCAAACAGCCCTTGGTGGCTCAAGACATGGTGTGGGCCTTTAGCCAAACAGCCTTTAGTGGCTCAAGAATTGGTGTGGTCTGACTCAAGGGGCTGCTGCTGGCTGTAGTCATTTGGGAGGCCTTAAACAACAGGCATGATTGCAGCATGCAATGCAGAGGCCCATTAGTTCCAGAATTGCATTGCCTTTGCAGTGCTGCATTTTGTTGGTGCATCTATTTGCATGCCATGGCTGATGTCAGCGTCAAGCAGCAGTACCTGGTGTCCTACGCAGCTGGTTGAGCATCATGAAGGCAAAGCCTTTTTGAAGATCAGGCCTTCTCACTATGCAATCGTGAAGCTGGTTGCAGCTGGAGAAGTCAACATTCCAAAGAATGGCAGCCTTGCTGAAGCAACTGCAACTGAAGAGCTGAAGTCAGCCCTGGAGAATGCAATTGAGCAAATGGCTGATGAATGCAAAGGCAGCAATGCAGATGCAGATGCTGCTGAATCTTTGTGGCAGCAGCCAGGTGAGGAGATGCCCAAAGCAAAAAAAACATGGCAAACAACAGAAGCCAACGCTTCCTGGCACAATTACTTTTGCATGGAATGGCTGCAGCACCACTGCATTGACACCAAGCAAGGCATCAGCTGACCCGGCAATTTGCATGGAGCCTGATGCTTTAGATGCTGTATTCAAGTCAATTGCAGCTGACTGTGCAGTTTGCTTTGGGCAGGCCAACAAAATGCAATATGTCAGGAGTGAGAAGTATAGCAAGAAGCTTAAGACAATTGAGGGATGACACATGCTCCCAGCTGCCTGTGGTATGAAAAATGAGGGCAGTGCCTGTGTATGCTTGCTGCGTTTGTTGAGCCCCAATGTGGCTTTCACATGTTTCAGCCCCAGTGGCTCATGAGCACTTCATGCAGCTTTGTGAAGCTCAGTTCATCAGTGCAAGCACACCAAAGGGATTAAGCAATTCAAACAGCCATGGTGGCTCATGTGGTGGCTGGCTTGTAAAGCTGGGGCAGCTTGTTCAAACAGCCCCATGGGCTCAATCAATGCAAACAGCCTTGGTGGCTCATGTGGTTGCTAGGCAGCTTGAGTGGCTGAGTGCAGGCACTGTCTATTTTCAGCATGCTCTTCTTGTGCACAGCAGCCATCTGCAAGCTTGAAGCAAGCTTGGAGCAAGCTGGGCTAGCTATACCTTGACATGGCCAGCAAGGGCTGCACCCCTTTAGTTGTGGACAAAGAACTCATGTGTGATTGGTGCCTGCAGGAGCCTGCACAGGGATGCAGCAGGGCTGAAAAGAAAGCTAAGCCCAGCCCCCTGCAGGCAGCCTCTGCCTGAGCCTTGATGATTCAGGCAAAAGGTGTGTCGGGACTTGAGACTTGGCACAGGCCAAGGCAATGGGGCACCCCCCTGAGAAGGTGGAGGCAGG